TTTGGATCTGGAGTACCTGCTCCTCAGTTGTGGCCACTGCCCCAGTGTTCGTATTGTCTGTGAATATGATCAGCAGAGTGTACACCCTTTCTTCCATGTCATTGATGAAAAGATTAAACAGGATTGGCCCCAGGACAGAGCCCTGGGGAACCCCGCTTGTCACTGGCCACCATCCTGATGATTCCCCACTAATGGTTATCCTCTGCTTTCGGTCAGTCAACCATGTCCTAATCCATCGGACAGTGCATTGGTCTATCTCAAAACTCCTCAATTTCTCAACCAGGATAACATGGGGCACTTTGTCAAAGGCCTTGCTGAAATCCAGGTAAACCACATCCACTGCATCCCTTCCTCCATCTAGCCATCTCGAAACCTTGTCGTAGAATTCCACAAGGTTTGTCTGGCAGGACCTGTTTTTGTGGAAACAGTGTTGTGTGGCTGCCAGCCTCCCTTCCCTATCTAGCATCACTAGATCTCTCAATATTATGAGTCTTTCCATTGTTTTTCCTACAATGGACATAAGGCTAACTGGTCTGTAATTCCCCATGTCCCCTCTACTGCACTTTTGGAAAATTGGGATCACTGATGCCACACTCCAGTCCTCTGGAACTACACCTGTTCTCCATGAGAACTCAAAAATGGAGCCCAGCGGGCATGAGAAGTCCTATTTACCTTATTGGAATGTGATATCTGAGCCTTTAGATATCTGTTATTCCCTATAGATTTCATATTGATTTCTTTCTTCATGCTGTCTGATGAATTACATCACAGAAATGATGTACAATTTCTATATTGTTTGAACATGTATTGTAATGTCAAAGTGTCAACAAAATAATTATTTTATCTAAAAGCAATATATATTCTATGCTGAAAACAGCTGAAGATTAAAATATATAATCTCAGTGACCCATAAGAAATACATAAACTTTCCATCTTATCCAGAAGGATACTATAGCTGATCATATCAAAAGCCACCAATAGGTCCAAGAAAATCAACAGGGTCATCAACCCTAACCCTAACCCTAACTCCAACCCCATATCCTTCTCCAGCAAATGCTATCGCATAGGGCTCATATCAAGGTACTTTGGTTCCAAAAGCATGCCTGAAACCCAACTGATACGGGCCAAGATAACAATATTATCTTAGATGTATATGTTCTACTAACCTCCCATATGGATTACTACAATGCACTATACATCAGGTTGCCTTTGGAAACAGTCAGGAAACTCCATCTGGCCTTAAACAGGGCAACCAGTTTGTTATATGCAGTTTGTTATCCCCACACTTTTTCACCTACACTGGCTGCCAGTTTATGACCAGATATGATTCGGAGTGCTGGTATTAATACACAAAGCCCCAAATGGCTTGGGGCCAGGTCACCTGAAGGCTCACCTCCTCCCATATAGAACTGCTCCCATACAGATTCTAATGTCACCTTCAGCAGTTCTTTTCTGGGAACCTCCACCAGAGGAAACAACATGCCTTGACTGAGGGCCTTTTTGTTGTGGTACCCCAACTCTGGAATGAGTTTCGTAGAGTCACCTGACTCTTACATTATTTTCATTCTGGCACCACGTGAAGATCCTTTTTCCCAGGTATTTTAGTCTACCTTTTTTGTTGTTTTAAATCTGTTACTGAATTTTACATTTTTGCATTGCTGGTAGGTTTTAGTTTTGTTTTTACTTCTATTTTATACTTAGTGTTACACTTCTTTGATATATATTATGTTATATTTTATGGTCGTAATTGTTGTCGACTATTCAGGGAATAGTCTGAGCAATTGGCTACTGAGCAATTAAAAACAACTTACATAATTTACACTATAAGGATCATATACAAGTGTTCTGTTAATTATGAAACTTTATTTCTGTAATACAACCTTTCCATCTTTTAAATGTGCAACACATTACAACTGACTCAATAACATTCTTATTAAGGACTTCAGCAAGTCTAATGTAATAGTTACATGTGTTTGTATCTCACTGAAATCTAATATGGACAAATATAATTGTGTATTGAATAACATCCTAAATTTTGCACATAATTATGTTAAAGGATGGTAGACATTTTAAAAATAAGTTCCTTCTTTAATTAACAATTGATCCAATTGTATCAATGTTTGAAAAAAAAAGCATAGAGCTATATATATTGAGTTGGATACAAAGGTTGTTGAAGTGGAAGAAGGTGTGCCTAACAGCATACCCCCTTCTCCTGTAGTTTCCTTGCATGACTTCCACCTCCCTCATGTAAGATGCTTCTGCCTACTCAGAAGCAAATCCCAATATGGAGCTTATTTCCTAGTAAATGTGTGCTTAGCATTACATTGTTAAACCGAACTAAAACTAAAAGGGTTTTTAAGTAAGCGTAAATGTACTTTAGCTATTCCAACTTCGTTTCATCACTAAATGGTATCACAGATTTCTGTTTAAAGGGAATATTCTAAGAGTAAACACATAAAGATATATTGAATTAAGTGCAAATTGTGGTTGATACATTCCAGAAAAGAAAATGCTACCTCACAAGGCCAGTATTAAGCTTCAACCATTACCTAAGAGAACTCTCAAAGGGGGGGTTCTTTTTCTCACGAATTATCTTTGAAAGAAGGAAAAGGAAATCTTTGAGAATATGAGGAAGGTTTTGAGCATGATCCAGTCAGGGCAGAAGGCCTTTCAGGATCCAGAGAAGGCTGCCACTTGCTATCTGAGCTCAAAGCTGTAGTAACCAATTTATAGAATGCCGCTTCACTGAAATCCAGTGCAAACAGAAGAGATCGCATCCTGCAGTGTGCTTTCTGGGAAATGGAGAGGCCACATCTTTGGCATTTTACTCATCCTGGCAATGTTTTTAAATGAACTAGGAAGGCTGATACAGGAATGTTGCCTAACCCTTGGCATTTCTGAAACATCCCCATGCCCTAACTTTACACAAATTCTTGGCCACTCTCTAGAAAGAATAAACTCTCCCAAACTGAGCACTTTTCAAAGTATGCAGACTTTGAACCTAAACAAAGGGCTTTGGTTGTTATACCAAATGAAAGGAATGCAGGAATTTTAAGCCTTTTCTTATCTTCTTGAATGTCTATGACTTTTCAGAAGGAGCCCTCACTCAGACAAGCTGTCATATTCTATCCCAGAATTTCCAGATTCTGTCAGCAGAAGCATCACACCTTAGTTTAGTTTCATTAGCAGCTGCAGAGAGGAGAAATAATAAGTATTTTCGATTATTCATGCAACTTAGCAGTCAGGCAAAGTAATCCACCCTGAACTTCCTCTTGCCAGAAACCTGTCATGCACAGGGGAAATTCTTCTATCACAACCTAGTGATCTTATCTTCTGGATAAGAATTTGCATAAGTAAATGCTGCATCTGTCCCAACAGAAGAACAAATCTTATTCTCTTATCTTCTGCTTGGCCTACAGACTGTTATCCTTCAGCTACTGAAGGTCTGCTGATCTTCCAACATATCACTAACCCCAATCAGTGAAGCATTCAAGGAACATGCTCAGCCATGCATGCCATTTACAAGATAATGACTAGCATCCAGAAGTGCTCCTGTGATGTATTTTGTTTAAAAATTGTGTATGTGCTTCAGATCGAGGGTTTCAAACACCATCTAGTGCACACATCCATTCCCCCACCCACTCATGCGATGAACATCGTTACAATTGCAAATACATGAAGTGAAAAGAAGTTAATAATTGCTGCAGTCAAATGAATTAGTTTTATTCACAGCTTGATAACTTTTGAAATGCATTCTTAAAAATAACTGTTGATCAGAGACTGCTGTGATCCCAGCTTTGTTGGTTTGGTCATTTTCCCCCTTGATACTGACAGTATCAAGAAAAAAAACCCTGAACAGTAAGAATGCGTATAAAGAATACATGAATTAGCCAAAGGAGGACACATGCACACACAAACACACACAAAAAGGGAACAGATTAAAACCATCAGGGTGGGCACCAATATATCATAAAGGCTTAACAATTTGGACCAACCACTTCTGAAGCCCAAAGTGTCTCTTATATCTTACCCTACAATCTTGGGATTTAAAAAAACATTTATATAAGCATCGATACAATTCATACATAAAATTCTAGGGTTCTAGAAACTCTATAACACTGCTGCTTAATGGTACATTAAAGAGCAAAAAGCAGAAGATACATAAAGATTGCTCAATGATTGCTTCCTTTCATGTAACTTCACTAAGCAAGACAATTTTATAACTCCTCTAGTCTATGAGACTGATTCACTTTTCCCTCTTCTGTCAGCTATGAAATGGATTTCTCTTTCCTTTTTTAAAATTCTTGTCATTCAAACAGACTGTGCTACCTCAGCTGTGATGCAGGGGAGAAAGAATAAGAAAAAAAGCTATGAGATACAGCACGTACCACTGGCTTAATGAGTTTCCTCCCTGCTTTAGAGTAGCAAAAATGTATAAGAATGTGAGACCATGTGTCAGAAAGCTGATTTATCAGAACCAAAAGTGGTGCTGATGGCCAAAGAGAATGCCTGTGAAAATGGCAACTTTTCAAGGCTATTGGGTTGCCTTCTTGGACTAATCATAACATTATGATTAGTCAAATGTCAATGTTTTTGTTGACATTTGTCGATCTGAATTTTGAAGTAGAATTTAAAATGGCCTGAGCTAGAAAGATTATTCTACAGATTTTAATATGTTTATTACTGTAGATATACTTTATCCTGATAAGTAAAATAAGGTGCACTTAATGATACCTTATCTGGGGCCAAATATAATTTTTTAGCTCCTTTATCTATCTTGGTGTTCTAATGGGTTTTTATGTTATTTCTTAACTTTAGAAAAAGTAATAGTAACACAATCCTTTCCTACTTAAAAATGCCTTTTTACCATTCATTTTTCAGAAACAGAAATAAAAGTTTAGCACAACTAATCAATTTCCTAAGATCAATTGTGAAGAAACAGTTCAGGAAAACACATGAATGCTTTACGAGATTCTACTGGGAGGAAAGTTTATTTTTACCTGATTTGTTAGACACCCATATAATTGCCTCTGGTGAGATGTGGCTCGTATTTCCTACTGCAATTGTTAATGGGATCTGCCACAAGTAGCTGCAAGACAAAGGAGGGGGATCTAAGAACAAAAATACTGAGCTGGTTCTTCTCACTTAACAGCAATCAGGGATTACATCAAAGGAATCAAACAATGTCAGTAGCAGAGCAAAGACTGTGATTCTAACAAGTTATTTTGCCTTTTAAATGAATTTGCTATTGGCAACAAATCTATGAGAAAATCATTCATCTTACAAAAATGATACTGGTATCTTTTTACATACTATCATTGCAAGATAGTTTCTAGTAAAATATAGGAAGTCACAAAACAGAGTGGAACTGCTGTAGCAAGAAGATCATTACTGAAATTTAAGAAGAAAAGGATCTAATGTTAGCATATGTTTTAGTTTAAGTGACAATACAGATTTTTTGCATTTTTAGTAACTTCTTAAAGGGTTCTAACAACAAAATTCCGTCCTTAACCACTTAATGCCTTGAATAATTATTCATATCTCTGTAAATCAAGTGTAAAATGCTGCAATTTACATACATTTTACACAGATGTTACACACTGAAAAAAATCAGGTTTCAATATATCAGTTATACAAAATTCATAGGTGAGTAATGGACACAAAGTTTAAATAGTAATTTCTTACAGGAGTGTCTTTATATGAGATAGATTCTGCAAGATAAACTACAAGCTTCATCATTGGAGATAAATTATAGAATCCAAACCAGCTTTGGATTTCCTTCCAAAGATGCAGCAAACCAAGTTCTAGTCTCTCAAATACCGCAGCTAGTATATTTCAGTCTAATGCTCCTTTGGAGACACTCTCCCCAGACACGCCTCATCTTTTATGTACTCTGCACAACTGATATTTACTAATATCTCTGCAAACATTAAAAACGCTTACAGAAGTGCTAAAGAGTGCCATTTCACATGGATGGTAGGGGTTTCTGTTATTTGGGGAGAATTTTCAGTAAATTCAAATATCCATTTTTGGATATAGCCAAGATAAAAGTGCATTAAGCAGTGATTTTATGAGAATGACTATAGGATATTGTCAACAAACACACATTTTGTGCTAAGTGAGTTGTGCTTTTCGTGTGCAGAGCTTGTTCACAAACCCATTTCATTGTTTATAAGAAGAGTGACTTGATATGTAGCCATAGCACATATGGGTATTTCTGAGGAATAATCACCACTGGTCTCCAAGGTTCCTGAAACCATCCCTCTCATCTCTTCCAAAGCACACATGTCCTGAACTCATTGTTGGCCCTAAATTCTGCACCTCCCTCTTACTACCACACCAAAATTCTTATAAGCCAGTGTAAGCCCAACAGGCCCCTTCCTACCTACCCCTTCCATGGGAAGTAGGAGTGCATACATCACTCCTTACACCAAGAAGCAAGACACAGGTAAGACTAAACCCATTCGTATTATGTAAGTAATACCTAGTCAGTCTCACAACACGAAATCCCCAACTCCACATAATACCGATGTGAAGATGGCATTTGCTGGGTGTAGGAGACCAAACTTAACCTGTGGGTTGTTTATTCCTCCACATGCACCTTTTAGTCAGCTAGGCTACAAGACAGTAAGTGAGATGGGAAACTAAGCCACTGGAGTTGGGGGAACATCTGAGATGAGATCACTGTTAAGGGAAATGGTAAGGGTCCTCTGCTGTCCACTGATTCTGCTTTTAAAAGAACCACACCACTTCTGCATGATACCAGAAAGCACAGGTTTGAAAACAAACGTTTGAGCAGGTAAAATGTAGTTCCACCCTGTGCCATAGGCATTTGATTTATTGTAGACTCCTCAACCTGGTGTCCTCCAGCTGTTTTGGGCTTCAACACCCATCAGTCTCATCAATCATGGGCAACAGTCAGGAATTCTTGGAACTGTAACCCAAAACATCTAGAGGGCATCAGACTGGGAGACTCTGATCCATTATACTATATTTTTAAAATTAGTAGTAGTAGAACTAAGAGGAAACTGATTAACCTTGCTGTAGAGAATTGTTCTCAATAGGAGAAAGGACAATTTTTCAGTCTTTGACTCTTTGTGACTAAGCAAGAAATATATGGCCATATTATTCACACGCACCCTGCCCTTCTTGCCAAATGGAAAGGATAATGACAAGTCAAGTGGGATTCACAGAAAAGAAACAATGTTATTAAATTTATTGAGAGGTCAGTGACTTCAAATTATTAGGAATGACTGAAGGAGCTAACTACTCAGTGTATTAAAATGCAAATTTGTAAAAGAAAAGACGCAATCACATCTTGGAATAGTTGGCTTTTTTCTATAGCTTCAGAACAGGGTTCTGTGTTTAAACTTCAGTGATTATACTGGATTGCAGTCCATCTTTTATTGCTACTTTAAGAAAAAGTAAAATGCAACAGATTTTAAATTGCATCTAGTTACATAGTAAAACACTGTTATAAATTTACATTAAAGCAAATGTTATCTTTTGAGAAAGAAAAGATGTTTAAAATGACAACAGAGATAAACAAATACATCTGCAATAATGTCCACACTCCAGTGTACAGTCTTATATCCGGTGCATGAACCAGTGTTCATGATTCTGCTAGGAGTTTGGAATTGTTTGGCGGATAACTCCCTCCCACACACACGCACACAAACATCTGTAGAAACCATTTGCCTGACCTTTGACTCTATGTAATATATTCCTTTGTAATAGTGGGTTCAATCCTCTATGAAATTAGCTATGTGGGCTGTAGGATTTGGTGGAAGTCTGGATACTCTGCTGGCACAACAGAAACACTGGAGGAAAACCCCAGATACAGAGCCAGAATGGAATGCATTGTAGCAGCTCTACACAGTATTCTATACTTGTCCAGGCAACCCAATTGACTGTACGTTTATTTTTAACAGTTGTCTCCACATCAACAGCTGACACAACAAAGATCAAGGAATGGTGTAATGCTACACAGAACCATCGGCTTCCACACCAGAGTATAAATCCAACCTAGGAAGATCACAATTCAGGTTTGGAGTATTGGGTGGCATTTCTCTGGTTTCATCTCATGCTGTTTGATGCTCCCAAGGGAAAACTCTGATGAAATGGAACTACTGATAAAGGGCACTTAGAACACTTGGTTTCAGGACACAGATCCAAACTCAGGATCAACATTAATGCAATGTAACTCTTATAGTTACCCTGTTTAAGCTAACCAAAAGCAGGTCTTGGCTTGTGAGATAACACAGAGAGGCTGACAGGACATGTTGCTCTGTCTGAGGGTGTGATGGGCTGGAAGGGCTTGTTGGCCCATCCTAATGCCAACAGCTTTTTATGACTGAGTCTGGGAGAATCAAATCTTCCATAATGTGTATGAACATCATGCCTGTGGCTGTGAATATTTCTTCAGGATGTATACTGCGTGTTTGGTTCCACAAGGCTCCCTCTATTTACCCCATGACATGTGCTCTGGTTGACCTTTGTGCATGTCCTGATGTCCTACCCCACACCTGCTTGTCAAAACAAGCTTCTGCTCCCTGGCTCTGTCCTGGATCATATCCAAGAAGGCCTACGTGTGCTTTATAGGTATCCTGTTCAAGAATCTGTATGACTCATCTGCTGTGTGGACTGTCCTTCAGGATTGGAACCACTTTCTATGGAGATCCCTGGGGGCCTGGAGTAACCTCTGGAACTGGTGGATTGGGAGCATGCACTGTGATGTTCTGTATGTTGTTATGCCAGAATGTACACTTGAATGGAACCCCCATCACTGGGATTTCATTGGTTCCCTTCTGTAAGACATGTGGCTGTCATTGCCAGCACTGTGCCTGAAGGCAGGTCCTCGTGGTGTTTCCAAGGATGCTCAAATCTATTTGCTATTTTACTCAATGTTTGCATCTCTGGTAATGTTTTCTTTCCACCTTGGTTGAACTCCGTCCCCAGCATAATTGCTGTTCTGCTAGTGCCTTTGATGTTGGGTAAAGTTATCAATCAGTACAAAGACATTATATCAATGGTCTTCAACAAGATTTTGTCAATCTCTCACCAAAGACTTTTGAGGAATTTAGCAAGAATGGGCTAACAGGGCAGTTGTTCTCATAGGCTAATAACTGGTTCAACTGGGTGATAGGAGGGTAATAAGCCACTAGTCCTCTCAAAGAGTTGTAGCTGACTTAAGAGGGCAAGGATTGTGGATGCTGCTGCTAAATCACTGAGTGGAAACCAAACACATCCTTGGAAGAGTCTCCAGAGGATTCAAAGTCAATGAACTGGCAACAAGAGGCAAATTAGTTTTCCATATAAGCAAATACAAAATGACGTATGTGGAGGAAAAAGTCCTATGTGATATATACCTATAAAGTGATGTGATCTTAACTGGCAGTGGCTTTATTGGTACAGAGATCTTGGGCTTGCAATTAATAGCAAAATGAAAGCATTGCTCAACCAACATTGACTGTGTCTGACAATGCTGCTGAAAGTGGTTTAAATAATAGCACGGTAAATGTGGTATCAGTTGAGAGTTATAGGAATAGCTACTATAAATTATTAAAGAAATAGCAGAACTTCATGAGCATTGAAAATTTGAAAATAAAACTATACAGGAAACAAAACAGAAAGAAGTATCAGCAATTTCCAAATAATCACTTTGTGACACTATAACAAATGCATTTCTCTTAATGGTTCCTGTTTCCTTTTCCTTTTTGAAGATTAATTAACCTTTGCCAGTAATATAAGCATTTTACAGTAATGGTTTTTAAAGTTTCTTTTAAAAAATGCTAGAACACTGCAAAACTGTCATTTTGTTAGAACACTTTTGCTAATAATTGACTGGCATTTTGAACTGAAGCGTAGACAATGGCCCTGAGCCAACTAGGGATGCAGGTAATCCTGTACATGTAGAGCTGAACTCTTTTAAAGAGGCCAGTTAAATCAGGTTTAAATTACCACTGGAATGTGAATGACCTGCAACTTGGTTGCATGTATGCCTTAACTATCTTACTAAGTCAAATGTGGTTAACCCTTCCTAACCGTTGCTCCATGAAACGTGCCTCCAAGTATGCTTTTTGTTGAAAC